CGGTTTTGTTACTTTATAATGTATATAAATCTTTTGTTCTTTATATTTGTTTGTTGTTCTACGCGTTAGTGTTAAATTTGCAATACGTTGCATAATGCACTGTAGGATTTTGCGTTTACGTTGATCTCCGGTGGCCCAATTTCCGGAGTTCGCCTCGGGCCCCGCCGATCACAGGACCGGCATTGCCAGCAATGCGCGTCCTTTGCCAACTCGAATGTGCTCCGGGGGCACCCATAACAACATTTTTGTGTTGAAGAGCGATAGTAATGATAACTGTACAAAGTTGAGTTCAAATGAGGTCAGTGGGACACTGGGATACTAAGCATTTTAAAGGAACGTGGATTTCAGCATGATGTTCACACGTACATGGCAATTATCAAGATACTTAGTGATTTGTGTATGGATAGGGAGCTGTGTTCTGCTTTATCAGAGGTTATAAAGTCGGAAAAGGAGTGTCTTAGTTTTCAAGTTTTGGACTTGTTGGAGGCAATGGAGAACAGGATTGAGTCCGATGGCCTTGGTTCATTAAGTCGGGCTATTCGTGCTTTGATTAAGGCATATGTTAGGTTATTCATATTTGAAGATGCCATCGACACATTGTTCAAGATAAAGAGGCATGGAGTTGATCCGTGTTCGTTGTCTTGTGACTTTCTGATTTATAAGTTGGCTAAACATGGGTAAGTGGATACGGCTGTTGCTCTTCGTGAGCAAATGAAGTCGCTTGGGGTGACACCAAATGTTTTCGCATGTACTGCGAATCTTCACGGACTTTGTCAGCATAGTAGGTCAGATTTTGTTATGAAGTTTCAAGAGCTTCGATAGGTGGAAATGTGCCAGTGGATGTCTTTGGCTATGGGGCTGTGATCCGTGGTTTGAGGAAAAGAAACTGAAAGAAGCAGAGATTATTTTTGTTCACATCAATGACATGGAAAAGCAAGGACTAGCTCCTAACATATTTTGTTATAGCACCTTGATTCAGGGATATTGTGAGTCTGGGAACATAACGAAAGCTTTGGCTTTCAACGATGAGATGAGGTAGCCAAACTAATTCTATGATCGTTACTTCAATCCTTCTGAGCTTGTGCAAAATAGACAAGGCATCCAATGCAATAGAAATGTTCAAGAACTATAAGGACTCTGCATTTTTTTATGAAATTGCATATAATGTGGAGATTGATGGCTTGTGCAAAACTGTAAAATTCGACGAGGCTGTGGAATTGCTTGACGAAATGAAGGCTAGAAAGATGGTTCCAGATATTAAGAACTACACCACTTTGATTCTTGGTTATTGTCTCCATGGAAGAATGTTTGATGCTTTAAGTTTATTTGAAGAAATGACAGAAAAAGGGTCTTCAGCCTGATTGTATTACCAATAACATACTTGTTCGGGGGTTCTCTATAAATGGTTTTGCAGAATATTTTCTGGATAATATGAAGGGACTAGGTTTTGTTCCAAGCACTGAAACTCGAAACTCCGTAATTTAATTTGGGTAGAAAGGTGGAGGAAGCTGAAATGTATTTTTGTAGTTTGGAAGATAAGTCTTGGAAACTATTGTGACATGATTAAAGGCTCCTGTGAATCTGATAATGTGACGAAGGCATATAAACTTTTCCTCTGGTTATTCAAAGAAGAGCGATATGTGAAAAAGACTTATTGTTTGAAACTTCTTAGCAGCCTCTGTAGGGGAGGTAAATATGACCTGTCTTTCAAATTATTTGAGACGGCGCTATCCTTAGACGGTTGTGCTATATGTACATAATGATTTAGATAATGGTTTACATACATTGAGATGTTATTGCACCTCGTTACATAGACTATTATATGACTATTATGTAAAAGTAGCATTATTCATCTTTAGACAAACGTCCTTTTAAGAAAATTTATCGCAAGTTCATTACTTCACTTTGTTGTGCTAGAAATATGAAAAAAGCCTTATGGGCATTTGACAATATGGTTTTAGAGGATTATTTCTGATGATCTCTTCATTGATATGAAGGATAGGGGTTTTAGTGGTGACATGGTTACATATAATGTATCTTTGATGGCCTTTTTGAAAGAAAATCAGAGAAGTGCTCCATCTCAAACAGATGACAGAAGAACCACGGAAGTGAAGCAGGTGGCTGTGGCTCTTTGGTGTGAAATGGAGGAGATGTGATTAATTGATGTCATTAGCTACACAGCTTTATTTGACTATCTCTGCCAATCAGGTAACCTTAAAGATGCTCTTGGCATCTTTCATGAATTGATTGATAGAGTTTTAGTACCTGATACTGTGGCATATGCACCCCTCGTATTGCAAGCATGGAAATGTGGACAAGTCTATTACTCATGTGAATGAGTGAATCATACGAGAACCAAAGGGAATGCAACCAGATAGTTTTATCATCTCGATATTAGTAAATGAAGCGAAATTGCATCTTCAACATTGAATTGTCTTCCAACTCTTAAGCTGAGATAATATCATAATGTGTTTTCCAGTTTCATAAGGTTAGATTTTCCTCGTCTTACTGGTGCATGTTTTAGTTCTTCTGTAATTGAAAACTGAATGTTTTGCATGTAGCCTTCAGTTTGAAGTTTTTCTGTATTATATTTTTGCCCCTATTGGCAGAAATTGTCTGTCAAATCAGATCGCAATTACATTGGATCAGAGCACTTTGCTGCAATGACTATTTATTGCGGTTGAAGTAGTGACAAATGTGTTTTTGAGAATTTAGGTGCCGATCCAAGCAATATTTACACACAAGCAAGTATTGCCACTTCTTTATGCCAGGTAATATTTTTTTTGTGATCTTTGTAACTTGGCGGCAAATTGATCAATTTAGTTCATGAATTATTAGAATATTAGCATTGAAGTGGGGAGATCGGGTTGAGAATTAGAAACTCTAATTCTACCATCAAGAGCAATAAAATCACAAAAAGAAAATATATAAGAACATGCAACATTTATAGAGGTTCACTTCAATGTGAAATTACTTCCTTTTAGGCAGCAGTATTCATAGTTTACAAAATAAAACCCACGCACTCTATTTTCTATAACCTTTCTTCCTTTTTGAAGGTAATACAAAACCATAATAACGACTCCTTATTTATAAGACAAATTAAAGTAAACTAGAGGAATATTTACCAATTTAACTAGACTTTCCAAGGAGGTAATTTTCTTTTTCTCTTGGTGCTTAATAAATTGTTTGCTTTCATAGGGCCATAATGCAAGCTGGGTTGCTTTTACCGAAGAAACTGGGAATTTGTTTCAGCTATTTATGAATGTAGGTAAACTCTCAACATTCTTTGTGAAAACACCGAAAGGTACAATATTGCATGCTATCAATTTTTGCTTGAACTAAGCGATATGAAAACGAATTAAGACATTAAATAAGCACATATTTATTTATTTATTTAAATCTAATCTTCAAAATTACAATCTCATCGCCATGCAAGGTCGAATGAAATCAAAGTAGCAAATGCAAATCTCTCTTAGAGCTGTCAGCACATTGCACAATACTAAGAAACACATTCTCATGACAAGGTAAGACAAGTTTGGAATTGTTGTCAAATCCAAATTGTTCTTGTGCTTGATGAAGCAAGAATTTGAATAGAGGAAGGTTTAATAAGCTTAAATTGACAACATATCTCTTGCAATTTTCCCCTACATATACCACAAAATGACCTTCTGGAACATCTTTTGGGGCTAACTCATAATCTTCATGCAGGCAGCTGCTCTTAGGATAATCCCATGTTAAAAGGTTGAACACATTGGAAGCTGTTCTTTTGAGCTTTTTAAGGTATATTTTGAGACAATTTTCTTTCCTCATTCTCATGCATGTAGGAGGGAGTCTCTGAGAGAGATGCGCGCACGCGTACATATGTATCAACGTCGTGTTTTTGTGTGTATATATATACTTGGAATGAATATATATAGGATATCAAAAGATATTTCGAAGGGGTACAAGTCACATTTTTCCTTCTAAGGCACATTATCTTTGTCTGCTGCATCAATTATTAGTCTATCGACCACATAAAATAACTTATTTAAAAGTTTAAATAAGTTAGAGAGTGATGGTATTTGTATCAACTTTGTTACCTTCTAGTTATTATTATTGTCTGTTTATGACTTTCTACATACTTGCATGTGGAGTGTTGATGATCTGTTATGTTTATGTATATGCATTCACACAACTATTCCTTTTTTTTTTCTTTTTTTTT